AATTCTTTCTGAGGAGAGCAATGGATGTGGCTTCCTCGTTACTGCGGTGAAAGAGAAGGGTGATGAAAATGGTGAAAGGTCTGGGAACCACAAAGCCCTATGAGGAGCAGCTTAGGGAGCTGGGTAGGTTTAGTCTGGAGAGGAGAAGTTTAAGAGGTGAAGAAATAATCCAGTGTGACACTGCTATAACTGCCATGATTCAATGCTATGGGATTCCTGGAATTGTGATTACAGTTCCCAGAATTCCATAGCATTCATCCACAGCCGTTAAAGTGGTGTTAAACTGGATTATTTCTGCAGTACGTATGCAGCCTTAGTGAGTCTGGAGGGATCAGGGGCCACAAAAAGCAGCCTTGGAGGGCAGTGTGCGGTCTGATAGCTAGACTTTGCCTACCTGTATCCATCCTTCTTCTTTGCAATTCTGCCTTTAAGACTCTCTTTGTGATAGTAAAGCATGCAAGCAACCTATACTGACATTTGGAAGTGTTTTTCTTTGACTGTTTACCATCCGCCTCAGCACGGCGGTAAATGTATCATAGCACATTGCATAAGAGAACACAAAAGGCCTTAACTCGGTTGAGAAATAGGATGAGATCACAGAGTTTGTGAAGAGGATTACTGAGTTTGAGGATTAGCAAAAGCAAAAAAAGGAAAGGAAAAGAAAAAAAAGACAGAGAAAGGGAGAATTAGCCAGATTCTACTGTACTTTGTGCAGGAAGCGTATTAGAAATAATACTCACTTGGGAGCATTTAGTATCATGTATGCTGGAACATCAGATCTTTTGCAGAGTTGATCCAGTGGCTGTGCTTTAGATCAGGATAGGTCAATGATTTGGCATCATCATCATTATCATGATCAATCATTTATATATAGTACAACATCCTGTGATGCATAGGACCAGTACCCACAGTTTCATTTACCTGAATCTGAAAATATATGGTCTCTCTAGGCATCTGGAGGTCCTCCAGTGGAACTCTATGGCCAACTAGAAGTTGACCATAGCAACTCTATGGTCAACTTTTTCAACTCAACTCAAAGCAACTCTATGGTTAACCATTCCAACTCAACTCTATGGCCAACTTCAGCCAAAAATATAAGGTTTACTATTATCTGTGATATTCACTGTATGTGGTAACTCAGGGAACATATCCCCCATGGATATACTGTAGCACCATCAGTGTACATGGTGCTTCACAAAGTAAAACAATATTTAAAAAATGCAGACAGCCCAACCCAAAGTGTACAATGTCATAGAGGAAGGAAGAAGTAATGCAAATATAAAATCAGTACAACCAAATTGTAAAATGGATTGTCTAAATAGAAATGCAAAACCAAATGGCATACAGGTTGAGTTTCCCTTATCTGGATCACTCCAAAATCTGAAATACAGTTGGCCCTCCGTTTTCGCAGGGGATCCATTCCAGACTCGCCCGTGAAAATGGAGATTAGTGAGTATTCAAGCCCCTGCTAGGGCATGTCCCATTGATTTAAATGGTCACCCCTCCATAATTATGTAAAACCATGGACTTGAAGTCTGCGAGAATGGAGGGGTGACTGTACTCCAAAATCCAAAATTGCCCACATGGGTGGCTGAGATAGTGACACCATTGAGGTATCATCAGGCATTGTGGACCGTACATTCCATTCTATTTTATTTGCAATGATTGTTTTGATTGTTATCTACCATCTCTGGTTTCAAGCAACCACTAGCTCAGTGCAAGCTTATGATCTGTGTTCGTCATTGTTGTTCCCCCCTTCCCCAGGCCGATTATATCTTAGTTTCTTCTAAACAGCCACATTGCATGGCAGTGAATCCTGCATTTTCCATCCACCGTCGGGAGGCCAATGCAGCAGATTCCTAGACTTGCTATTCAAAAATCGAAATCCAGGTCGAAGCTCTGGTGCAGTGCGTGCATTTGCCTCCCTGCTTACTCAAGACTTGAGCTGGAGCATCTCTTATTTTTTCCTCCATTGCTTTGTTCATCTCTATCACCAACAATAACCCTGTCCCAGGATCTTTGCTTTTCCTGTCTTTGGAGAGAGTGAGAGTGCATCACTTTCCTCCTCTTGCAAAATGCATCTAAAGATTTTTTTGGCTTGTCTGTTTCTGAATGCTCTCCACAATTGCTCTGCTGTTCTACCTTTATTACAGCCATTTTCTCCCTGCTCTTTCTCCAATTATCTCTTTTATATATTAAAAATAAGCCCCTCTCTTCTGTTCATTTCTGCACACAGGCAGGCCTCCCGGTTTTTGCTTTATCGCTGGTGTTTTCCTTAAAAAAAGCCTGTTGCTTAACCACACCAGCTTTTCAACCGGCAACGATTGCTCAGCCTCTAAAGGAAAGCTCAGTTTAAAACATTGGGCCTGATTTCTCCAGCAGGAGAAACAAACCAAAAACAGAAAAATTGGGGACTGTGTGGTCATCCAGACCTGGGAGTTTATCACAAGGGGACAATTGGAAGTATAAATGGGGATTATCCCATAAAAGTCACACATTCGCAATTAAGATTTTCACACGACGCTCACTATCCTGGGAATATCCCATGAAAATTGCACAATTGCGATAAAGGTTTTCACACGGCGTCGTGTTGAAAAGCGATTAAAGTGACATTAACCCATAAATAACCAGGCAATAAACAGCAACAAATCATTCACGGGATTTTCCCATAAATGACTTGTTGCTGTTTATTGCCTGGTTATTCCCAAAGTAATGACCGCTGTGTGTGAAAATCTTAATTGTGACTTAATAGTAATTGCACAGTTTTCACGGGATAAACCCTGTTTAAACTTCCTATTTTCCTCCATGTGATAAACTCCCAGATTGGATTGCAGCTCTCAGCCTTTCTTGCCATTAACTATGGGGGCTAGAGGATGATGGGAACTGCAGTGCAACAATATTTGGGAGGAGGCAGGGTTCCACCTTTGCAATTGCCTCTTCCTGTTTCATTGCAACCAAGGCTGCATCTGTATTGCAGAAATAATCCAGTTTGACACCACTTTAACTGCCATGGCTCTATGCTATAGGATTCTGGGAATTGTAGTTTGTTGTGGCACCAGAGCTCTCTGAGAAAGAAGGCAAGACATCTCACAAAACTGCAACAGATTGAGGGACTGAATTTGAGTTAGTTTAATAATACTAAATATTTCCTCCCATAATGAAGCAGCAACTGGTGAACATGGAACGGTTTTGTTAAGGATACAAGCAAAAACTAGTTTCAAGTCCTGCCAATTTGTTTCAATCAAACTGGAAGATGGTTAATGGAAATCGTCATATATACATTTCAACTCCATTAGATGCGGTTAACCTGATTCCTAGCCCAAGTGTAAGCTTGGCATGCATTAATTAATGTTATTAATCCAAAATCAGGCAGAGATATTTCTTTAATTCAGATGGCACATAGAGAATTTTAAGCTCATCCAGCTTTTCATTCTCTGGGGAAATAAAAAAAAAAGAAATGTCTCAATCAGGCTGCAGTGTATCTTTTCATGGATCCTACCAAAAACACACATTTGAAGAGGCTGATTTTTGGGGGATGAGATAGAATGCAGACTCAGGACAAGAAGAGGGAGGCAGAAGGAGCAATCATTCCTACCAGCATTATGTCCAGAACTCTGAGAAGTTCACTACAACTCCCAGAATCCCCCAGCCAGCTTGGCTAGACTACAGCAGACAATCCAGAGACGATGGGGTGATTCTATGGCTGCATCTACACTGCAGAAATAAAGCAGTTTGACACCACTTTAACTGCCATGGCTCCATGCTATGGAGCTCAGGGATTTGTATTTTGGTGAGATATTTAGCCTTCTCTGCCAGAAAGCTCTGGTGTCCAACCAAACCATAAATCCCAGGGTTCTGTAGCATTGTCATGCCCAGCCAGCATCTGGCTGCTTTCCCAGACAAGCATTGAGCCGCGGCAATTAAAGTGGTGTCAAACTGTATTAATTCTGCAGTGCAGATGCAACCTATGTGCAATGCAAACATGGTTCTGAACTGGTTTTGCAGCTACAGATCAGCACCTTGGACAATTCCTTTCAAATTCAAAAGCCATCAACCAAGAACAGGAAAGATTGGAGCTTAGGGAAAATCATACCTCTGTACTTTGGGTGGATGGTGGAAACAGGCACTTGGATTGGAGTGGAAATAATCCTCATTCTCTCTCTCTTTTTCGGCATGGAAGGTAGTGATGATATTCTCCTTGTGGCCAATGAGTCAGAAATGGATTATAGTAACTTGCCATAGGCTGAAAGGCATAAAAACAATCACTACAAGTGGCAAAATTGTGTCGTTGCAGCATGTGATCTCTGGCCTGAAGAGTTTAATCCTTCAGGGCTCAAGATATGTGACTCATTGATTCTTCTATCTGGCTCACATTTAGCTTGCAATTTTTGGATCCATTCCTTTTTTGGAGACAACAGCTTGCAGGGTCCCACAATTCAGGCATGCTGGATGAGGGATTCTGGGAAATGTAGTCCAAAGACATAACTTCCCCAAGTGCTTGGCATTCTCCACTCCCAGAAGACATCCTCCTGTTTCCCCTTCTGCAAATACAATGTGCTTTTCAATTGTTTTTTTGAGACAAGAGATCCACTCAGTGCAGACTTTCCTTGGTATGGTGATGATAATTACAATTTGAGTCTCCTAATCTGCAATTCTGAAAGCCAAAATACCCCAAAAGCCAATATTTTTTTCCCCATGTTTGGCTGAGATAGTGGCATCTTTGCATTCTGATAGTTAAATGTACATAAACTTTGTTTCGTGCACAAAATTGCTTTTAAAATATTGTATAAAATTACCTTTAGGCTATGTGTCTAAGGTGTGTTGTTGTTGTTGTTGTTGTTGAGTGGCTTGATGTCATTTCCGACTTATGACTTATGACGACCCTAAGGTGAACCTATCATGGGGTTTTCTTGGCAAGATTTGTTCAGAGGGGGTTTGCCATTGATTTCCTCTGTGGCTGAGAGAGTGTGACTTGCCCAAGGTCATCCAGTGGGTTTCCATGACTGAGCAAGGAATTGAACCCTGGTCTCCAGAATCGTGGTCCAGCACTCAAACCACTACACCTTACTGCCATAGTGTACATGAAACATAAATGAATTTTGTGTTTAGACTTGGATCTCATCTCCAAGATATTGCATTATGTACACATATTCAAATACTGCTTTCCGAAATTAAAAATAATAATAATCCAAAACAGTTCTGGAACCATGCATTTCAGTTAAGTGAGACCCAACCTGTTGCTTTATCTGTTAAATTTCGACATGCCAAGTTGCTATGCTGGGGGCTACATTTTTACTGGAAGTTAAATTAGCAAGAAAACTTGCTGCTTCCTCTGGGATGGGCTTCTACCTTGGAAAGAAGCCCGCCTTGGGTCTGTCGCTATTTTGCTTGAGCTACCTTGCTTTGCTTGGGATCCTGAAATTTGATTGATTTCAGTATGAGCCTCTGCTCCGAGTCCTAACCCTCCTCCTGTTGGTTCTCATCCTAATCCCTAATCTTTCCCTGTTTCCCTGTGCTAATCCTATAAATACTCCATTAATCCTATCTGTCTAGTTCCGTCTCTGTCACCCTTCTTTGTTGTTATGTGCAGAGGGTTGGTGGCGGGGGGAGTGTTGCAGAGAGCGAGAAAAAGGAATCAAAGGAGACTTTCCCATTGCAAAGGCTTTGTAGGACCAGGTGTTGCCAACTCTGCCATTCCCTCCACTGTGAGAACAGGTATGCTGAAGTGTGCAGAATTTGGATCATGCCTATTGCCTGTTTCTATTTAGCTTGCAACGATCAGAGTCCCTCCTTCACCCCTTAGGAAGAGTTTCTGAAAACTTTTGCCACTGAGCCAAATAACCACCCCCAACCCATCTAATTGTATCTGATTATAAGATCTAAATGGGATCAGATTTGGTTAATGCAGGCTGAGCTTCTCTTATCTAAACTTGGGCCAGAAGTGCCTTGGATTTTTGAGTTGTTTTTTTTTTGTTTGTTTGTTTTTTGGATTTTAGAATATTTGCATGTACACAAGGAGATATCTTGGTGATGGGACCCAAGTCTAAACGCAAAATTAATTTGTGTTTTCATAGGTCCAAAACACACTGCAGAAATAATCCAGTTTGATATCACTTTAACTGACTCAACCTGTAGACCACCAGGGAACACCAGGAGGCATCTTCTGATCATGAATAATACTAATACTTATTTAAATGCATCTGTGGAAGTAGACTTTAGTCTACAAAAGCTCATGCAACCAACTTCTTTCTTTCAGTTAGTCTCAAAGGTGCTACAAGTTCTCGCTACATCATCATCATCATTATTATTATTATTATTATCCCACCTCTCTCTATGGATTGAGGTTTGGAACAACAGCAGTTAACAAATGCACCAAACCTCAAACAGACCATATTGCAGAGGATGCAAAGCTGCTTTGCATTTTAGTCTCAACTTTACATGAGCTATCCAAAATGCTGTTCCTTTTTGGCAGGTGGCATTGGTGGGAAAACAGGGCATATATAGCACCTGACATCGCTCCTGTTAAAGTTCAGATTGAAATCTGGAGCTGATTCACCCCCTCTTCCCTGGCATTGACATGGAAACTACCAGCTGTCTCTGTGCTACAAATGCAAAAGTCAGACAGCTTCCCAGGCAGAATGGAGGAGAAGCAGACACTTCATTAAACAATTCATGTTCTGAGATAAGAGCAGACGAAAATGCATCTTGCCCTCTGCCCTTGGGCAGAGCCTTGGTAGAATACCATCTTTCTCTGAGCTCCTTGCAAGAAGAGTGTTGTATAAATGAAATAAAAAACTTACAAAACTCATGTGCTTTAGAACAGATGCTATGCAATATATACCACTGACCTCTTCTGGACCAACATAGAACTGCTCTACAGTCTTTGGGGGGTTGCAGACTGCCAGAAAAAGTGCAAATTGAGTCCACTTTTAGGGTTAGGGTTAGGGTTAGGGTTAGGGTTAGGGTTAGGGTTAGGGAATCATGGGAACTGTAGTTTATTGTGGCACTAGAGCTCTCTGACAGAGAAGGCTCAATGTCTCAGAAAAAAAAAAACAATCCCCATGATTCCCTAGCTCTAACCCTAACCCTAAAAGTGGACTGAATTTGCACTATTTCTGACAGTCTGCAACCCCCCTTTCTGGTTTTTAGCAATGGAAATTCTGCAGAACTTCCTAGTCCCCCTGGTTCCCATAAAGACCCCCCAGTCCTCATACAGCCCATAAAAATCCCCAGTCCCCAAAGTTATAGTAAAGGAGGTGTCAAATAATTTTGTCTCTGTCTCTTGAAAACACCTTCGCCTTCCCCAAAGGACATCTTGACTTCCCTAAGCAAGGAAAGTTGGGTGAAATTGGCAGAACAATTAACATCTCTCTCATACTCCTGCTTTAGATGATGATGATGATGATACACATTCTAATGCAGGGGTAGGCAACCTTTCCCCTTTAAGGGCCGAGGGACTTCAGCTCCCAGAAGCCTCAGCCATCTTGGCCAGTAGTCCCATGTTGGCTCCTGGGATTCTGGGAGCTGAAGTCCCTCGGCCCTCAAAGGGGAAAGGTTGCCTACCCCTGTTCTAATGGGAGGAGGTTTGCCATGGCCTTTCCCTGAGGCTGAGAGCATGTGGCTTGCCCAGTGGGTTTCGTAGTTGAGCTGGGAATCAAACCCTGGTCTCTAGAGTTGTGGTCCAACACTCAAACCACTAGGCTACACTGGCTCTTGACCTCTCCCTTAGAAACAGTTTGGGGTCCCTGTGCTAACTGATCTTCCTTTCCTTTTCCAGGAACATACCAGGGCCAGTGGGCTGGTGGCATGCGCCAGGGATATGGTGTCAGACAGAGCGTCCCCTACGGCATGGCTGCGGTTATCCGCTCGCCTCTAAGGACCTCGATCAACTCCTTGCGCAGCGAACACACCAATGGCTCAGCGCTGCATCCCGACTCTTCCCCTGCAGTGGCAGGGAGTCCCGCCATCTCCCGCGGGGGGTTTGTCCTGATGGCGCACAGTGATGCCGAGATCCTCAAAAACAAGAAGAAGGGCATCTTCCGCCGGTCCCTCTTGAGCGGGCTCAAGCTGCGTAAATCTGAGTCCAAGAGTTCGCTGGCCAGCCAACGGAGCAAACAGAGCTCTTTCCGCAGCGAGGCAGGCATGAGTACGGTCAGCTCCACTGCCAGCGACATCAACTCCACCATCAGCCTCGGAGAAGGGGAGACTGAACTGTCCGTCATCGAAGACGACATCGATGCCACCACCACCGAGATCTACGTGGGCGAGTGGAAGAATGACAAACGGTCAGGGTTTGGTATCAGCCAGCGCTCAGATGGGCTCAAGTACGAAGGGGAATGGGCTAACAACAAGCGTCATGGTTATGGTTGCATGACCTTCCCGGATGGCACCAAAGAAGAAGGGAAATACAAGCAGAACATCCTGGTCAGCGGCAAGAGGAAGAACCTCATCCCATTGAGGGCCAGCAAGATCCGTGAGAAGGTGGACCGTGCCGTCGAAGCCGCCGAGCGCGCAGCCACCATCGCCAAACAGAAAGCGGAGATTGCGGCATCCAGGTAAGGCCTGTGCCCATTGCTTGGAGGAAGTTGGTGGAGGCTTAGAAGGAAGCGGTGTCTTGATGTCTCTGGTTTTGGATGGAGTGGGATTATTGGGTTTTTTAAAGGAGTGTTTATTGACATGATTGCATCTAGATTTTATTGATATTGCCACTGATATCATTACCTAGTTTTAATTTATATCCTTATTGGTAACAGCAAATGTATAAATAAAAGGAGAAAATGTACAATAACATGTACAATGGGTTCTTGGTATCCGCTGGGGTTTGGTTCCAGGATCCCTCATGGATGCCAAAATCTGTGGATACCAAAAACCCTTGTCTGGAATGGAGAACCACATCATCTCTTTTGGCAAGAGGCCAAGGGCCATTCCCTTTCAGGTAATAACAAATCCTGTCCTCTTTGATTTCCAATGGGTCATTGATTAGAGTCCCAGGTTTTGGCCTCTTTTCAGACAATGGCTCCTTCTCACCAAGGAGCATGGACTTCTCGTACCAAAAAGGAAAAGGAGATAGGGCACTGCTTGCCATGCAAAAGCACAGACAGTTTCACTTTCCCATAACAATAATAGTTGCTGAGCAATGCTGGGCACCCATGGGACTGACCCAGTTTTCCTCCTGTTCTGTAATTAAAAGGATATTCCAAATTTAATTACAATTTTAACAAAGAGAGAGAGAAAGAAAGAAAGAAAGGAAGGAAGGAAGGAAGGAAGGAAGGAAGGAAGGAAGGAAGGAAGGAAGGAAGGTGTCTTTGCTCTGGATTAACATGGTAATCTTTCTTTCCTTCCTTCCTTCCATAAGCTTTTTCACCTTACCACCCTTCAAAACAAAGGCTGGAGAAGTTGCCTTTTTTACTACATGTCCCAGCATCCCCTGGCCGGCGTAGATATTGTCATTGCTATTTGGCAGATTTTGGGTGCTGCAGTTCATGAAATAACTTGGAGCAGTAAACTCTGACTTTTCCAGGCCTAGGATGTACTTTTCAATCATGTAGAAGATTCAAAGTAACACTTAAAACCGCTTATCAGAATGTCTGCAGAAGTGAATGAACCCTCTGGGCATGTTAATGCTGCCTTGTGTGTGCGTTTGATGGGGTTTGTATGGATGCTGGAGGAATTATTGCCAAAGCAGGAGAGAAAACCGACTGTGGAACATGAGCCAGAATTGATCTCTCTTGGTGACTTTGGAGCATGAGATGTCTTACTCGCGTACATATTTGGTGGTGGCAATGTACCTGGGGTGTGCATTTGGTGGCAAAACTCAAACTCCATTCCAAGAAAAGTGTCTCCCACCTCTGACTTATGGTGACACTAAGGTGAACCTATCACTGGGTTTTTGTGGCAAGTTTCTTTAGTGGGGGTTTGCCATTGCCTTCCCTTGAGGCTGAGAGCATGTGACTTGGCCAATGTCATCTAGTGGGTTTCATGGACGAGCTGGGATTCGAACCCTGGTCTCTAGAGTTCATAGAATCA